CATGTTTTTCTTCATAGTTGACACCTCGGCTGGGCGCTCTGGGCCCTCACCGGGGCCTGCTGGGTGCACCTGCCTCTCCTTCCCCCCAGCAGCCGGGCTGCCCTGCAGGGGGGATGGAAAAGCAGACAGAGAGATAAGCCCTGCTGGGGGGAGCGTCCCCCCGCACCCCCGTGCTGTGGGGAGAGCCCAGGGGGGGCACAGCCCTCCTGGCCCAGGCAGGCCCAGGTGACATGGCCGCTCCACGCAGGCCCCGCTGCCCGCCCGGCCTGCCTGCCCCTCGGGCCTCGCTCGTGGGTCCTGCCCTCCCAGGCCCTGGGGCCGTGCTGGGGATCCCAGGGTCTCACCCTGGGGATGGTGATCCCTTTTATGTCACCCTGGTGCTGGGGGTCCCTGTGTCTCACCCCAAGGTTGGGGTCTCGCCCCGGCGCTGGGGGTCCCTGTGTGTCACCCCGGAGTTGGGGTCTCACCCCGGTGCTGGGGGTCCCAGGGTCTGACCGCAGGGCCTGAGCCCCAGCTCTGGGCTCTCCCCAGACCACCCAAGGCAGGCACCCCAGCCCCTCCAGCCCACAGCAGACCCCAGGTACAACACGGCCACCACCAGGCGGGGGGAACATGAGCTCAGAGCTCCACTAGCCAAGGGGAGCTCCAGCCACAGGAGCTGCGCCCGCTCCCTTCATGTACATCCCTCTGGCAGGAGTGCAGAGCGATTTAATTCCACCCATTAGACACATGACAAAAATAACCCATCATCTAAACACTCTCTGGAGGAAGATTCTCAAATATGGGTTTACTGGAATTTTTTCCATGTTCTTCTGTATCCTCCGTCTTCAGGAATGGAAAATGGGCACCCTTACTTGACTATTTTTTTTCCTCCTTTAATTCAAAACAATTTCAATACTGGTTTAAGTGTTTGGTTGCTGGTCCTGAAGATATTTGCTAAGCATTAAACCACTGTAAAAGTAAGTTTGATACAAATTCATGGATAGATATGGGGAACTACTCATATTCCCCTTTATGCTCTTTTGGCTTTAGTATTGAAGGCAGCCTGAAGTTCAGAAGTGTCAAAATAATTGCTTTCTTGATGGTTTCCTAATCAAATCCTGCAGAAATAAAGCTTTAACTGAAAATAAATAAATAAATGAATAAATCTGGACTTTTACCCATTAAAACCTTCCTGGAACGACTTTGCGCGTGGTTTTTACTTGTCACCACACTGCTAGGGTTGGTATAAATAGCTTGAATTTATCACAGCAGCTTCTTAACTCTCAGCTGCATGATGAGCCTCTAATGAGTTGATTTTCTAGGACCAGAGCAAGGAATTGCAGCCTGGATCATGTTCCGGCTTCAGGGACAGGATAATGGCCGGGCTGTCCAAGGTAGCGTGGGCTGGAAGGCAAATCTCCCTCCAGAGAGCCCTGCTGATGGGAACATTAATGTTTATTGCGCTTGTTGAGTAAATAAAAGGCTTGTTCTGCTCCTGAACTGCCTACAGCCCTGTGGAACTGCCCAGTGCATGGTGCTGCTGCCAAGAGCCTTGCTGTGCGTCCAGCTCCTCTATGGCCCTGCGTCATAAATGGTGATTGTCCATCATCTTCTTGCTTGTAATTGGCAAGGTGGCCCAGAACCCCCCTCAGCAGAGACTCTAGAGCCCTGTGCCCATTTACAGCGCTTCCACTGGCCTTAGGAAAGGACTTGTTGGTGGTTTGCACACTGGTGATAAGGCTCAGCACATTATTTTAGGTTATTACAGAGAGCTATTCCTGTTTCTAGTGTGACTGGAGCTTTCTGATTTGAGCATCTATCAAGTTTGTGGAATATGATAAATGAGATTTTTGTGTTTCCATCTCTCCTGATGACAGAAAGAAATTTCTTTAAGGAAACACATTTTTTTAATTATAGGTCTGACAGCTACCTCCAGTTCCAGTCTTCTCCATCCATAACATGCTCTGGGGAGATTAGCCACGTTGCCAGGCACTGGCTTATAGCTCTCCTTATATCTGAAATGGCAGACTGAGCTTCTAGCATTAGGGAGTGTGGCCAGATACTTGAAGCCTTTCATTTAGCAAAAATTAGCAGAAGCTGCCAGGAGACAGACAGCAATATATTTGGTATGTCACTCAACTTTTATTTCTTTGTAGTGTATTTTGTTAGAATCTCACAGGAGATCTGCAGTTAATAACGTGTTGGTCTCCCATGGTGGCCAGGACCATCATCCCTTTACCTGAAGATCTCTCCATCTACCCCACGATGTCTTGGCCACCATTCTGGCTGCTCTCCTCCCCTCATTTGGATGGGATCCTGGTCCTGTGCCCAAAAGCAGAGATAGAAAAGAATGAGAAATCCACACTTCTGGGAGAGTCATGGATTTCTTTTCACCTTGGGTGGATATGTAAAGGGCAAGTGTCAGGGGGATGGAGCCAGGCTTTTCTCAGTGATGTCCAACGACAGGACAAGGGACAATGGGTGCAAGCTGGAGCATAGGAAATTCCACCTCAACATGAGGAAAACCTTTTTCACTGTGAGAGTAACAGAGCATGGGAACAAGGCTGCCCAGAGAGGTTGTGGAGTCTCCTTCTCTGGAGACATTCAAAACTTGCCTGGACACATTCCTGTGTGACCTACTCTCGGGGATCCAGCTTGGGCAGGAAGTTGGACTGGATGATCTTTGGAGGTCCCTTCCAGCCCCTGACATTCTATGATGCTGTGAGATGCCCCTGCAGTGGATTGATGTGCCAGGCAATTACGTGCATGAGGCACGGGGCTGCTGAGAAAGAGACAAACCCCTTGTGGGACAGGGACCACCAGACCATGCTGCAGTGGGAATACGCAGCAGTGAGAGGCTCCCAAGCCACGGCTTCCCCCTCTGGCATCTCCCAGCTCTCCCCTTAGGTTTGGTAAAGGCAGCACCAGGTGCCCCATCAGCAGCAGGGAAAGTGACAAAGTGGGCACGCAGGGATGTCCATCCACTGGTCACTCAGCATCTGATTTATCCCATCCACATCATGCTCCTGCAGGAAAATCTTATTAATCAGGTCTGCATTTCCATTGCAGCTCTGTGATTTAGGATCTCCTGCAACTGAGGTTGGTGAGAATGAAGTTCTTACATGCCTCAGTGGCTTTTGGAAAGGGCTGGCAGGCTGGAAAGAGGTACCCCAGCCCACAACAGCACTGAGGGGTCTGTCACCTTCCAGGACCCAGTGAAGGAGAAGCCCAGCAGGGCTGAGCACAGGTCAGAGCTTGCTGTGAAAATGGGGAGCTGCTGCAGTATCCACAGAGAAGGCTGGAGCCACGTCGTGCTCAGAGGAAGGGGTCCCTCTGTCCAGCTTTCCCCCACACAGCACGAGCCACTGACCTTCCCAGCTCCAGCACATCCCCCCTACTGCCAAGATGCAGCTTGATCACTAATTCGGGGCTCCCTGTTGATTCTGGCTCTGGCACAGCGGTGGTTTCTATGGCAACTCCAGGGGCAGATGCAGGGATGGCTTCAGCAGAGGTACCGCCAGCCCGAGTATCCCAGGATATTCAAGTGGCCACAAAGCACATGGGGGACCCATCCTGAAGTCACCACCCTGGGCAGATGGTGGAGGGGATGGGGCAACAACATCAAAACCATCTTGTTAATGCTCTTCTCTGAAGCGTTTCCAACTTTCCACACCACCCTGGTGGATGGCACAGCCTGTCCCAGCAGTGTGCTGGATGCTGCCAAGCTCTGCTGGGGTTGAGCCTCCTGTCTCTCCAGCCCTGCTACCCATCCAAGGATCACGCTGGCTGTCTTCTCCAAAAGGTCAGGCATCCGTGCTTGGTATTTACCTGGACCTGCAATTCTTTCTAATATTGGATCAGTGAAAGATTGAATCCCTTGCCCGTGTCTGCGACTGCCACTCTGGGCTTTGGAGCATGACTCTGCCTGGAGTCAAGACCAGCAAGGCTCAGACAAGCCCACGGCACTGGGCAATTGGGAGGTCACTCCCTCCCCTCCTCCCCAACTAGTCTCACTGTGAATTTCTGAATGTCACCCACAAACATCACTGGCACAGAGCTTATCTTCCCTTCCCGGTGCTGGCAGTTGGTAGATGCAGTGTTTCTGCCATGGAAAGCTGGACACAGCTGGATCTGGCTCTCCCACCAGACTGTGCTTCAACTTTTGAGACAGGGCTGTGGTGCTGGATGGGCCCTGGCATCATTAGGCATTGCATCTCATTGCTCAGCATCCTGGCAGCCCTCACCATTCCCTTTCTTGCTCCTTATCTGCAAAGCTCCCCTCCTGCTGCTGCCTTCTTCCCCCGCAGGCCCTTTGACCACAGGAGAGGCAAAGCAGGTGCAAGGCTGTGCCAAGGCAGCTCTCTCTCTCCAAAACGAGGGCTGGATCCCTACATCACATCACTCTGCTCACCTGGCAGTGGGGAAAGGAGCAAGAGCCATCCCTGCCCCACAGCACAGGACACGACTGGGGAAGGGCTCATCAGGCTCTTCTTGGGATGTGGCTTCCTGACAGGCTGTGGCACCTCCCTGTCCAGAGCAGGATAACCAGGGACAACAAAACTCCAGCGGGGTAAAATTCCATGTGTTCCATTTATTCGAGGTGCTACATCACCTCCTAGGCACTGAGCTACAGGGCACCTCTGTGCTACATGAGACATCGACTGGGTCTACGACGACACAGCACTCACTGCTACACACAGGGCAGGACGGGGCAGGACGGGGCAGCCCTGGCACCAGCGACAGTCCTGCT